AATTGTAAGGTAGGAAACGATAATTGGTAAAAGACCTCATGGGAATGATTCCTTCGATAGTCGATCAAGTAAGAGAAGGTTGATAAGTTTAATGAGTAAATCGGAGAAATCGAGAAAAGAAAAGAAGAATTTTATGAAACGATTGAAAATATTTTTAATTTACAAAAATAGGTCTGAGCACACTTTGTCTGTGCTAACACGACGAACTTTTCATTAGGAATTGTTTATAACAAATTTAAATAGTCTTGTTTTACTTTAATTAGACGTCTAGATGATGACCAGGGAAAATATTGAAATGAAAAGTCAATTCTTGTACTTTTATTTATTATAAAAGAAAAACAAAATACGCACGAAAGTTAAGGAATTCAAAATATTCTCAAGTTACTGTTTTAGAAGAAAGAGATAAGAAAAAGGGCTGTTGAATATGACATATTCATTCATATAAGTAAAATTGGTAAAAAAGTTATTAAATTATTGGATAAATCTGAAGTATTTGACATATTCCAAACCAACTAAAGAAAAATACGATAATGGTATCCTGAGGGGTATCAAGACGGTTTTTGTAACATTATTACGGAATTTATTTTCCGCGAGATTCGCACGAAGCACCATCAACCATAACCCAAGGCCCCCAAGGGATACTATTATCACAAGATAGCCAATATTACAACCTATATTCATGTATATCACGTTATAATGCACATTTTTTTAGCTGTAATCCCAATAAACTTCACGAAACGGGTAACTTATCGATTACACAAATGAAAAATATCTAAATAAAATATTACCCTATTATTGGCTAACTATTCCCGCACAGAAAAAAATATATGTGTAAATATAAAAAAAAAATATATTTATAAATATATATTTATATTTATTCATATATATTTAAATAATAAAGAATTTGCCGCATTTCATATATGATTTATATATATAAAATATATTATTGATATATGTAAGGTATATCATAATATATAATTGAAGTATATTCTATTTATAATTTTTATATTCTTTAAATATTTTTTATATGCATATTATTTATAATCTTCATATACTGTGTGAATGAGTATGATATATATATATATATATATATATATAAATACACATATATTTAAAAAATATTGTTTTAATAAAATAAAGAAAGGAAAAAGTCAAACATAATAGTACCATTTATATTTTATTGTAATAAAATGTAAGATAAATTTCGTATACTAATCTTTAATACAAAAAAAACGTTTTATATTTATATAATATAATAATATATTCTTGTATATATCTGGTATATATTTTTTTTCTCATATAAAAAAATTATATGTCCAACATACATATGCATATACATTTTTCATATAAGGCATATATCCATTAATATATTTAACAGATAAAGAAATTGCCAAAAATATATGGCATATATTTTCAATGATATTTACACATATATTTTTTTCTGTGCGGGTTATATTGGTAAACTATTGTTCAATAGATCCAATAATCAACACTAAAAAATATCAACATTTGTTTCTCAGAAAAATAAACACTAAATTTTTTGAGGATGTACGAACGTTAATTTTTCCACGAAAGAATTTTTTGAAGTTTTGATATTCGATTGATTTGTTTTTAATTAAAAATTTTATGACAATTTCAGCACAATTGTGCTGCTAGTTTTCGAGAACTATTAATTTGGAATTGATTTTTTACACAGACTCCAATGGAGATCACGTGATATTTTATTAAAACTGTATTACCACTCAATAGGTGGTTTACTCTAGATTACTTAGTGTTTGATAAACAAATTTGCTTTTCTAATTAATTTAATAATTTTTATTATTACCAAGTAATAATCATTTTTAATACACATTTTTTTAGCTGTAATCCCCTATAAACTTTTTGTATAGTTTGTTCGTACACATTTTACCTTAAATACTTTAGGCAGGAATCGAACAATATGGCATTGTCTTGTCAGACTCTGCACTGTAAATCTCAGTTTTCCAAAATGCATTATTTTAATGCGGATAAGTGTGTTAAATATAACATCACCCACTTTTAACGCAGATCTAAGTGTTTAAAAAGTGACTACAATGTTAATCAAATAGGTGACGTCATATTTAACACACTTATCCGCATTAAAATAATGCATTTTGGAAAACTGAAATATACAGTGTGTCTCGAAGGACTCTACGGTTTATTTATTGTTAAAAAATGTTTTTTAACTGTTAAAAAATATTTCTTCACAATAAAATGAGATTTATTCATTATAAAATCACTAATGTGTTCATAACTAAGGCTTTTTTATTATAAAATATTTATTAATAATTAAAGACCATTAATTAAAACAATTAAAATCGTTTTTTAACATTCATAAATTTATTTTGGTTATTTTTTAATGCCATAAAAAGCGGATTTTGGTTCGTTTTGAAATATTTAAAAATGGAATTGGGACAGGAATGGATTCCTAGTTTGGTATTATTTGTAATTTATATCAATATCCACTATTATATTTTTTTTATGGACAAACATGAAGAAGTTTATGATAGGGACTCTTCAGAAATACACTAATTCATGGCTTGTTCAGTGGCGGAATAAATAAGTCATCAGTCTTCATTAAAGGTTAATTTAATACACCATCAGTTAGAGCGTCGTAATGAAAAGAATAAACAATAAATGTCACGATGAAAATCTCAATATACAGGTTAACGAGTTAAACAAAACACGACAATCACATTAACCTGTACTCAAGTCATTAATATACTTTTGTGGGGTTTTATGTTACAGTATGGAATAGTCGACAGTCTGAAGTAATCTTGATGCATATATGTACCACCTTTTGGGAGATACGTTTGAGCGCATTTGGTTGAAGCTGTAAACCCTAATGGCAGAAGTTTAAAGCAAGTCCTTGCGGAGTAATTCGTATACACGTTGGTATACTACATACATTTACGACCGCGCCCATTTGGCACACCCGATTATTATTTGCTTAACTCAACCTAGCCGCATTGTATTCCACCAACCTCCTTCTATCCTTCCTAAACCGGCTACACTTTATACACTTCTGGACATTACACTCATCTTCTTTGTCGATTATTCTCGGAATTACAATGTAACCCCCCTCATATAAATTTCGTCATTCCTCAGTGTTTTATTGCATTGTACATCTAAATGCATCGTATTCTTTTGATTCAATTGTTCGTAGAGATATTCAGGACCCGTACCGAGATTAAAATCAAGTTGTGCTATAGGTGCAATCTTGACTGGATTAATGTTGTTACCATGACCGAAAGACAAATAAAAATAGATGCATTTTGGAACACCCACCCACTGCAAATCCAAGTTGTAGACACTTTCAAAATGCTAAGCCTCTTCAATGTTAAATGTCGTAAACAAACTATAGATTTTTTACACACTACGAAACGTGTAAAGTGTCCACAAATCATGCATAGTTTGTTAATGGGCATTTTACATTGAATACACTTTACGCGTGTTATTTTAACACGTTTGTAAAATCCTGGGATTTGTTTAGATTTATAAATTTAAACAATAGAAATTAATTTTTTTTTTTACAGTAAAATGAAAGTGTTATAAACAATATCCGACCATTTGGAGATACTTTGTAAATCTTAAGCGTGTTAAAATCACACACTTTGAATGTAGAGTGTATGTATAGTTATTTTTAACAATATTCTGTTGATCTCTTTTCAACACTGATAATTTGATGGGTAGAATATATTAAAAATAATTAATTAATTATTTTCAATGGATTGCAATAATACTTTTACTGTGAATATTTGTGTTTTATTTTAAAACATTAAAAGTGTTTTAATATGACGTCACCTATTTGATTAACATTATCTTGATTTTAAAACACTTGAAAATGTTTTAAAATCGCTTGAAAAAATTTTTAAAACGTATTTAAGTGTTTTAAAATCGAGACAATGGGAAATTATTTAGAATTGGAGCTTCAGACAGAAGTTACTTTAAAATATTTTTTATAAATTAGGGCTTATTTCTGAGGATTCAAATGTTAAAGGTAATTATTTAGAATTTTAATTCCAGGCAAAAATCGCTCCAAAAAATTCTCCACCACCTGAAAACTATTTTCTTAGGTAGAATTAGACAATTGAAGGTGGGGGAGACATGTTTCATGAGGTTCAGGATTTTTAGGTATAGGTATAGCTTGAATTCAAATAATAAAGTGACAAAGAGGATGGAAGGTGCGGGGGGTGTTTAAAGGCCATAAATACTTTTGGAATTTTTGAAAATATTTATGTCCTTTTAACTCCACCACCGCCACCTTAAATTCACTATTTGTACTCTCCGAAATAACCTCAAATGCACAAAAAATTTTTTCGAGCGATTTTTGCCTGGAGCCCAAATTCTAAATAATTACCATGTTAAATTTAAGGAGTAAGAGTTAAAATTTTGGGTCACTGCATAAGTAATAATGAGTGCTAGTAAGCAAAAACATCGATTTCGAAATCTCTCAGGAGTAAAAAAAAAAACCCCAGTGTTCTTTGCGTTGGTATGAACGGAGACATCATAAATCAATGTAAAAATAAATACAAATTTACTTATCAAAGAAAAAGTGTTTAGATTTTGATATTAAAGAATTTTCTACATGCCTGGATTCGAATCCTAAATGAGTATATGCTAATTAGTCAAAAATCGGCTATTAATAAGAAAGAATTTCTTTCAGGAGCTCCAATGCAATGCTTACAATATATTTTCAAGGTCGTTTAAATCATAGCTTCATGGTATGATTTTTGATCATATTTACTCAGTGTCCCAATATGTCAAGGAGTTGATGATCAAGATGCGTTGGTTATGAGGTTTATATTCTTTGATAGGAATAACAGAAAAGAATATATTATGTATGAAATAATGAGAGCTTTGAACCAACAATGGTATTTTCGTCTTCATCTGTGTGAGCATGTCAAGATCTATTAATAGTTTAACTGAAGATTTCTATTCTGGTTGTACTGAACGTAATTCTTCACAACTGAGTAGCACCATAGTCAAACGTTTCAGTGGTGAATCAAACGTTTTAAAAGAACCTCCATTATTTTTTTGTGCTCATCTTAAAATGTTAGAGCTTTAAAACTATTCATCATTACTAGATTTTTTTTAATTGAAATTAATTGAAAATGAGTGAAAATTTAAATCAAATGGAAAATTGTGCTATATGTCAACAATCAGCGAAACAAAAATGTGGATCGTGTAAGAGTGTTTTTTATTGTAGCCGAGAACATCAAAAGTTGGATTGGAAGAAACATTCAAAACAATGTAGACTTTTTGAAGTAAGATTTTGTTCTCTATTGTTTCAAATCAATCCCCAGTAAGTAGTTTTAAATCCAAGATCCAAAGATATTCTTGGTTACTTTTATGGAAATCAGGGTAGTCATCTAGGAACAGGGATTCAAAATTGTCCAAAAGCTCATTCAATCATCGAGCTTTTTTGGTTCCAAAGAGTCAAATTTATTCTTTTATCCTTGCTTCATTTTACAGACCATATTGCAGGGATGGGCAAACTTGTACTTTTGCAGAGCACCAGTAAAAAGGTCTACCTAGTAAAATCTTATACCTCTCTCACTCGCAGGAGTATTAGCTCTGAAAATTATACCTGGAGAGCCACGTTTGCCCATCTCTGCCATATTGGTAATTTACACGGAAAGAAGGATTAGGTAAAAATTATCCTGCAGTTCAGGATAACTAGAACACTCTACACTGACAAAGCAAAATTTACCCTACAGCAGGCATGGGCAACGTTTTTCAAGTCAAAGTCCCTTTTAAGGTTAAGAATATTTGTACAATAAGATCCATAATGTAAATGATATTCAGTAATCCAGGTACTCAGTCACAGGGACTTCAGGAAATCCCACTTGCCCATGCCTGAATTACAGGGTAATTTTTACTCAATCCTTGTTTCTGTGTAGAAATAGCAGAGAAGAGAGACATGAATAGAAGTTTATTTCAAATGGGCCAATGTGTTCCAAAAATTTAGTATGGGTTCTTATGGAGCCAGGTAGGAGTTTAACATGGGTGGGGTGGTCTGGGGTGATCCCTAAACAGAACACAGCATTGAACTTCTATGCAGGTCTATTTTCTCTGAGAAATACACAAAAACAAAATCAATGATAATATTAAATACCATAAAAATGACAGATAGCTGAGGATAAAAATGTGGGTAGGCACTTAATAGCCACTAGAAAAATAGAAGCTGGTGAAGTAATTTTGATAGAAAAGAAACCATTGGTAGCAGCACCTCAACAAGGTACTAATCCTGTATGTCTATCATGCTATGTATCACTGACTAACGACAATGCAACTCCATGCCAAAAGTGTGGCTGGCCATTGTGTAATAATTGTCAAGAGCATGGAGAAGAATGTCAATTCACTGTCAACCATCGTGATAAAAAGGTAAATGCCAAAATATTTCGTCTAAAATCATTCATAATTGATGGGAAATTTTGTTCAAGGTTTCCATCACAGAGTTTGGAATTCCTCATCCAACTTATAAATGTATTGGCATTGTTCGGGCCTTGTCATTACGACAAAGTGATCCCGAATCCTACCAGAAGCTGCTAAATCTTGAGTCTCACTGTGATGCTAAAAATTCCAAGAGACATGAAAGACTTAAAGAAATAGCTGATTTTGTAATGAGGTTTTTTAAAGTAGATGACATCAATGAGGAGGAAATAATTAAAATAGCTGGGATTCTCGAGGTAACCGATCAAATAAATCCAATATATCTTTAATTCAAGTAATAATGATTAATATATAACACATAGATTAATGGACACGAAGTCCCAACATCTGAAACCCCACATGTGGCAGTGTATGATTTAGCATCCTATTTTGAACACGATTGTCGAGCTAATTGTTCCAAGAGCTTTACTGAAAATGGAGGGATTATTATTCGATCAGCCTTGCCTATTTGTAAAGGTTGGTTTATGAATAATACCATGTAGATAATAGTCTAACAAATTTTTATTCAATTGTTTATTTATTTAAATGTTTGATTCTAATGTATTAACACAACAAGAGGTTTACAAAAAAGGGTGCTTTCTGCTAATTTTTTTCTTTTTTTATTATAAATACTTACAACTTTTCCATTAGGGAGAGTTATTTAGTTGTACATCAAGTGTATTCTTTACATTAGCTTACAAATCATTTTACCAAGTACTTATGTATATATTTCGAGCATTCAAACAGGAAGTTGACAATATAAACACAGTTTGGCAATGTGGTCAATAAGATCTGCTAATTGTAATTATTAAACTATTTCTCGAAATTTTAGTCACTATAAATTCTACATAGATTATTTTCTCAAATGTCGTGTAATTAAGCAAACAAAATGGCGCTAAAGATATAAAATTAATTATCTTTATCATTATTTTGCCACCAAACTATACAAGATAAAGGATGAAATCTGAAGACTTTTTTTATTTAAAATTCTAGCCACTAAAAATTTTATTTAAAACTTTTTTTTGTATCTCTCATAATTTTCAAGAACAATGCAATAAAAAAAAAAATAAAATTCCAAATGGTTTTTTCAATATTAAAACCCTTGTCACGATGAAAGCACCCTTATTAAAAATGACAATTGTTTTCAACATTTTAAAGAGTATTCTTTCAAAATTTCAACAGCACTAAAAAATTTTGATTTTAAAATCGAATTGACTATAGTAATTCAATGTAAATAACAAAAAAAGTCCATTGTAATTTCACTAGGAATATAAATGTAACCAACAATGTCATAATAAGCTATCATCATTGAATGAAAAGAAACCAATTCACAAGTCAACTTACCATTTTCAGGCGAGCACATAACAATGTGTTATGTAGACCCACTATGGGGTGTGACAAATAGACGCCATTACTTATTAGAAACGAAGCTATTCGAGTGCAAATGTGGTCGATGTTCAGATCCAACGGAATTCGGGAGCATGTTTAATGCTCTAAAGTGTAGGAAAGGGTAAGAAGTGTGCATGTTGTTGAAAAAATATGAAGATCACGTAAATCGAGATCGGGACACTCGAGATCGTGAGAACCCACCTCGATATGTGTCTTAACTCAGCATTTTCTCTATTGTACATATAAGCTATATATACATACATAAGCAGTCTGTATATATATCTATATATTGCGACAACAGAGATGTGTATATGAACGTAGACACGAGGTGGAAAAGCCCGTTATCGGCTTTCCAGTGAATTATAGCACTGTTAGGCATGTATTATGCATCGCGTTATTCGATCCGTAAAACAGCGAATGCGGAGGATCACTTCTACCCGAGACTTTCATAACGACCAATAAGAAATTGCCGGATTACGTTTGTGCCAAGTGCCAGGACTCAACTTCATGGGATACAATTGAGATCAAGCTTGAGAGTATTGGGATTGAACTAGCTCGTATGAAGAAGGATGATATTGATGCTTGCAAACAATTTATTCAACGTCATTCACAAACATTACATGACAACCATTTTTATTTGGTTGACGTGAAACTTGCATTAGTTCAACTAATCGGTCAACAGGATGGCGGTTTACCAGCACTAAGTGATGAATTACTTAATGAAAAAATTTCACTTTGTAAGAAACTTGATCAACTTCTGCAAACTCTTGTTCCTGGTAAATTGCATTTCAATTATAGGGTGATTTATTGATTAACCTTTAGAATAGAGATTTAACTTTTTGGTATTTACTTTTACTTTTAAGGATGTATGACACTTTTATGAATTATATTTTTAAAGCTTGAGATTTGAGATATATAATGAAAATTTCTAGAAAAAAATTTATAACAGTCAACAAATAATATTTAATTTAGGACTCCGTAGTGCAATAAATAAAGTATTGTACTCATCTTTCAATAATTGCGATTAACCATCATATAACTGAAGTAGACCGATCTTCGGATAAGAACGTGGTCAAGGATTACATATTCTTCAAATGCAGTGAAATGAAAAAAAGATTCAGTTATAAAATTAGGCAAACAGACGTGTTTTAGCGTAGTAAAGTAAAAACATCTGAAGGTATGAAATAATTCTTTGATGTAGGTATAATTATATTTAATTGATATATTGAATAGAAAGTAAATTTCTGAATTTAAAAATTTTTACCAGCCTGCATAGGACTTTTTACTACTTTTTTGGTAATTTTTACCAGCCAAACTAGTACTTTTTCCTAAGTTTTTTAGCTATTTTTACTAAAGAAATTGTTAATTGTTAATTTTTTTGTTGGCTAGTAAAATTTACTCTAAATTGACTCGTAAAAATTCCTAGAAAATTTTCTCCGTGTACTTAAAAATTCTGTAAATATACTGTGGGATTTGACTGGACATACATCCTTAAATTCATTTTTTAACATGAGAAAAATTGCATCCTATAAGTGAATTTTGTTTATCAGCAAAAACATTTTTAAAGGCTTGAAAAACATTGCTGGCAACTGAACGAAAGTAAAAATCATTTTAAAAAATAATTTAACATCGAACCCTTATTGTCTATTTCATTAAAATCATTATTATGACAAAATAACTCCACTGACTTATTTTATATTAATTACAGTCGTTAAAAATAATTTTTTGTTTAATATTTAATTTTTAATTTCTTATTTAGAAGTTATTATTATAGATTTGATTTTTTAAATTAAAAGTTTTGACATATCTCAACGTTTTGAAGTCTCTGAAGTTGGAGTCCATTGTTCTCAGCAAGATGTTTGTGTGTACGGTTCGTGGACTTTTTTTCCATTTCGAATATCTCGAGGAGAAATAATGACATCAACTCTAGACCAATTTCATTCGATGTATAATTGCATTAAGAACTCCTAATAAGGTTTGAAAAAAATTTTAATCGAAGGTTTTGTGAATAACAAAAGAACTATTTAAAAAACTATGAAATTTAAATCCAAGTTAGGTAGGGTGGTTTCTAATATTAGAAGACATCAAATGAAAAGTTGATAGTTTCAGTAGTTTTTTTTTTACCTGTAAAATTTTAAAGCTGATTAATCAATCGATGCTACAATAGGACTGCAATTTTTATAGGTTTCTTAAATACTTTCAATAAATCACCCTAATTTATTTTTGACAAAATAATAAAACATAATTATTAATTAATTGATTTTATTACCTAATTTTCTATTAGCTGAGCATCGAATTAGAGGATTGATTTTATTTGAAGCTCATGCAGGAATAGCAGAATATGGTAGACGCCAAGGAAAAGATGAATTACGAGGAATGTTAATGGTAATTAATTTTATAATTAAATTATAATATAAAATATTTTTAAAAATTTATAATGTATTATTAAAAAATATATTGTTTGATTTTAAGCTATCGAAGCAAGCATTAGAGGAAGCCTATCAACTTCTCCGTTATGAACCAGAAGTACTTCCTGAAGGCAAAGTAGCACGCATTGCAAAAAAAAATATCTCAGAAATGAATTTAATTATCAAAGCATTATCTCAAGCTGCTGTCACACCAATGTAATGATAATAATTCATAATAAATCATAATATCACTATTAGACTCGTTTAATTGAACACACAAAATTATCCCGATCTTCATTCTCTACTTTATCGACTGTTAAAGTCGCAGATTGAAATAAATAAGCATAAAAATGAATTCTTATTCTTAAAATATTAATAAAATAATTAAAAATAAATTTTGTAGCTTAAAATTTGTTGTTAATAATGATGTTATTTTTTAAACAATTAAATTATCAATTAATTTTGAATTCCTAGTTTATCGGCAGTGGTAAATTAAATTTGTCGATAAAAAAAAATAAAAAATGGAAGTAGTAGACATGGGAAAAAAATTCTGTACATAAATTATTTATTCGCAAAAATGGATGTGTCGAATGAAAATATCGATAAAGTATCATTAAACAATTTAATGGAAACAATAGAGATAACTGGTGAAGAATGTCGTATTTGTTTAAAAAAATCATCTAGTATGTGGCAAGTGTTTGATAATCAACACGAAATAGCACGTAAAATAATGGCTTGTGCTGCTGTACAGGTTAGAAATTTTTGACAGAACAAAAGAATATATTAAATTTAATTTTAAAACTTTCTTAAAAAAATACCAATTTTATAAATCAACAATCAACATATTTTTTTAAAATTAATGTCAAAATTTTTTAACTTAAATAAATTTTTTTTTTAACAGATTAATGAAGGGGATGGTCTTCCAACAATAATTTGTTGTGATTGTCGTCGATTATTATATTTATCTTACGACTTTAAATGTCAGGTAGAAAAGAATGACAGTAAATTACATCAACTTTTAGAATTTAAACAATCATTAAACCAATCAGTAATAGAAGCATCAATAAGTGACCAAATAATAGTCAATTCTGATAATGAAGTGAAATCTGATGATAATCTAATGAATGATGACCCACTGAACGTAACAAGTGATGGATCAATGATCTTTGAAGTCAGTAACGAGGAATTCAAACCTATAAGCTCTGATTCCAGTCCGGAAAAACAAGTTCTACATGAAAATGAATTAGTACAAAAGCTAGAAGCTCTCGTAGATTCTCAGGATGATGTGATAAAAGAAGAAGAATCAGCGATGATTGAAGAGAGTGAATTATCAGATGAAGATCCAACGGATGCATACAGTCATGACCTGTTTACTGAGAGAAACGATGACGAAATCAAAGAAGAAAATAGTGAACCTAAGTCAGAAGGTTTGATTTTATCACGAGAAAAATGTTCTGAATGTTCTAAAGTTCTAGAATCTAAATCAGCCCTCCAAAAGCATATGAATCTTCATCAAAACGGATCAACACTTCGGTATGTTTGTTATATGTGTGATGAACAATTTTCTAGTATGGATAAATTAAAAGGTCATGTAGCCAAAGCACATGGAACTTTAAGAAATGATAAAAAAGATGATAGTGATAATGTAAGTAATAAAAATGATGCTGATAAAAATCTCGAATCTCATCATCTAGGAGAAAACATAAGAAAAAATGATAAAAAAAATTATAAATTTTCATGTAAATATTGCCCAAAACAATTTACTTACGAAAAAGCATATTTAACTCATGCTAAAAGACATTCAGAATACAAGAATGACACACAAGTTTCCAATGATTCAACTTTGATTGGAGATTCACGTAGTAATGATTCAGAAGATGATGATTTACCATGTAATGGTCTTCAATGTACACTATGTGGTAAGCTTTTTGCCACAAAAAGGAACCTCAAAAGACATATTTCAACTCATAGTGGTTTAAAATTCCATTGTCTAACATGTAACAAGGAATTTTCGCGAGTAGACAAGCTAAAAGAACATGAACAATCAAAACATAATGACTTTGATCGACAATTTGATCAGTCTGATGATGAAAATAACACTGATAATGAAAATAAAGCTCAAGATAATTCAAATACAAAGAAAGAAAAACCTAAAAATCGACCACACAAGTGTCAAATGTGTCCAAAAGCATTTGTTCAAGCTCAATCATTGATCAATCACATGGAAAGACACAAGAGAGTGAAAGATACCCAGAAGAGATTTTTGTGTGAAGTTTGTAGCAAGTGTTTTGCTCAAAGTGGCTCTCTGGTGGCTCACATGAGAACTCACACAGGTGTAAAACCATATGTGTGTAATGTTTGTAGCAGAGCTTTTACTAAAAGCACTTATCTTCAGCTACATCTCAGGACTCATAGTGGAGAAAAGCCTTACATTTGCCAGTACTGTTCTCGTGCCTTTGCTAGAGCCAATACCTTGGCTAGACACATCACAATGCATACTGGTGAAGCCAAATATCACTGCCAGATCTGTATGAAGTCATTCAGACGTTTAACATCTTTGAATGAACACACTTATACTCATACAGGTCAAAGACCTTACGCTTGTAAAATCTGCACCAAGAGATACAACAATGCTGGGTCTTTGTATGCTCATACCAAGAAGTGTAAAGCTCAGCAGCTTACACATGGTAATGTGGCATTTGGAAACGTAGGAAATCATCAGGGTAATCAGGGAAATCATCAAAGCAGCTTACAAACTCATGCTGATAATGATGCTAATCAACAAAATCCAGATGATTCTACTGTTCAAATGCTTCAAAATTATTCTCCAAGGAAATTAGGTGATGAATCTGGTATTGTTAGTGCTACTAATTCTTTTATGATTACCAATGTTCAACATCAAAAGCCAGTTATGGCCAATGTTATACAGTCTTTTGGAGTGGATGAGTCCAATGTTTATACTGTTAATAACAAACAATTTAAGAACTCTTATTATATTTATCCAAGCATGTAGATGAATTTCTTTTTCGTCAGAAGAATCTCAGAAGGCTGAACAACATGTTAGTGTGAATGAATGACAAGTGATAATTGTATGTAATTATTAATCATGCTTTTGTAAAAATGTTTCAGTCATTTTTGCTTAGTAAGTGAAGCTAAAAATCTTTGTTTTAGGATCTTAGATATTATTTTTCAAATTTTATTTTTAATTTTATCTTGAAAATGTGATCATTCGGAGAAAAAACAAGTCGTTTCAGTTCAATTTTCTTTCCTAGTTTTTTTATCATAAATTTATTTGCTTCATCAAAGTTTATATTTAAATCTCTATTAACATAATTTCAATTTGGACATGAATGAGGTTATTTATAATGGAAAAAAATGAATAAAATTGAACTGAAACTGATTATATTTCTCCTAACATTCACCATACATCTCTAGAAGGATGATGTAATTTTAAATACAGTTTCAGAAGATAAATATTCAATTAATAATAATAAATCACATTTTCAAGATATTAAATAGATTTTTAATCAATCAGTTGATTAATAACATATTTAATAGTTGAAATTTCATGACACATTGGTGAAGAATCTAAGGACTTGCAATAGAATTGTACAGTAAATGACATTTAAGAATCTACTATAGTAAAATTAGACAATTAATATCCATTTCATAAACTAAGTTTGGATAATAAAATTTTTAATCAATTTTGTAGAGCTCAAATGAATATGTATATACATAAATGTATAAACATTTAGATCAAATTTATTTTTATCTTGCTACGTAGATAATAAACAGAATATACAGTGATAATGTATACGTTTATACTAATATTAATCAGATACAAATATTTTATAATAAATTTTTATAAAAAAACAATCTATAAAAATTAATTTACTCACTTTTCCGATAGTTTTTTTTTCATTTTCTATCATCTCCGCATTATAACATGTTTGTCAACAACAACAGTCCAAAATGTAACCGCCGCTTTGTCACCGCCATCTTGATACAGTAGCGTCCTCTATAACGACGCCATGGAGTTTCTCTTTTTGAATTTAAAATAAATATTTTTTATTTAGGATATAATAAAAAAATAATCTTATACTAATAGAAATTAGTTATTAAAATATTCAATTGCCATTAATAAGGGAAATAAAAATAGTAATTTAATAGTAAATAATGGTTAACCACAATAATAACAATAGGTTAATAACAATTGTTATTGAAAAGTAGTTAAAATTAATATTTATATAAATAAATGACAAGATTAATTTGACAAATAATTATTAGTAATTTCTTAAAAGTACAAATTACTATAAATGCACTTCAATCTGAAGATATTACTTTGAATTATTAAAATAAGTGACAAAATATGTAAATTTTTCAAGGTTCAATACACAAAAAAATTTCATCATTGAATAAAATTTGTTAGAATGCAATTGATTCAATAACGGTAAATAATTATTGAAATTTATGCTCACTCTATCGACATACAGGTCTAAAGTTCAATTCCTGAGTTCATAATCACGACGAATTTCATGTCCATTAAAAAAAATTTACTTTGAATCAGCAAAAAATAATCCATTCTTATGAACAAGAAAATATTAGTAAATAATGCTCATAACTACTCAAGGAAAGATGAAAAATAAAAGAAAGATAAAAGATAGGATAATATTTATCATAAAATTAGCAATTAAATTTAATTAAAAAAAAAAAAAAAAACATACACTGTCAAAGCAATTTGCTGTTTATGTAACCAGTGGCGCTGCCTGGTGTTGGAAAGCAGCTTCATAATAACTGGTATGACAACACGAGCAAGAAGACACTGGACTTCAGACGTCGGGGAATATTTGTGAAGAAAACAGCAAGTTTTTCAATAAAATTCTCATAATGGAGGTAAAATAAATTTCTTTATTAACCCAAAAATGTAATAATTAAACTAATTTATCTTATTCTTATGTACTGATTCATAAAATTAACCTTTTATTTCAGATTGAAATTATTGGAAGTGGCTCTAAATCAATAGCCAAATTGACTGTAAGTAAAAACCGGATTGTCTTGTCATTAACATGAATAATTGTCAATATTTTATCAATTTTTTTATCTCAATATTCAATCCTTGATTTATAAATTGCTATCTCATACACTCCACAACTTATTGATTTCTCTTTTATTAAAACTATAAACTCTCTATAATATATAAAAAGGTCATCTGAAAGGTTTTTATGTTTTTTTAAAAATAATTCTGACGAATATAAGTCTAAAGTTGATGGCTTTTTTTTTAAACATTTCTTTTAAAATTATTTTTATTGATGGTATTCTTATTTTTAAATGAATTTCCTCAGGTAAATGATAATACAACAATTGGAGACATAAAAAAAGACTTACACAAGCAGAAAAAAGCACCGTACGTGGCAAGACAATGTTTAAAAGCTGAACCAAAAGGCAAGTCATTATCAGACAGTCAAACAATAAAATCTTTAAGCTTAAAAAGCGGTTCAAAGTTATATTTCAAAGACTTGGGTCCACAAATTGGCTGGAAAACAGTCTTCCTAACGGAATATGCAGGCCCATTAGTGGTTTATTTATGGGTTTATACTCGTCCATGGATATTTTATGGATCAGTGAATACTGAAATGGATTTTGTTGCTCAGTAAGTAAATGAATGATGAATAAATTACCTCATAATTAATTAAAATGCTTAGTCAATGTATAAAAATCTATTGTCTTCGACAGCAGAATTGATGAAAAATTAATGATAACATTTTCATTTTTTAGTGTTGCTGCTATTTGCTGGTCAATACATTACGCAAAAAGACTTTTAGAAACATTATTTGTTCATCGTTTCAGTCATGCTACTATGCCACTTAGGAATCTTTTTAAAAATTGCTCATATTATTGGCTCTTCACTATGTACGTTGCATATCACGTCAACCATCCACAATACACGCCACCAAGTCAACTATACTTTCTTATAGGTTTAGCAATTTTTGTAATTTGCGAGTTAGGTAATCTTAGCATTCATTTAGCTCTAAGAGACCTTAGACCGCCTGGTACTAATGTTAGAAAAATTCCCGTTGCTACGGGTAATCCATTTACTGCTTTGTTCAATTTTGTTTCTTGCCCTAATTACACATATGAAGTCGGCAGTTGGATTGGATTTACTCTAATGACTAGATGTCTTCCAGGTAATCCGATATAAAATATATTTTTTATTTATTTCTTTCTCTAGAATAGAACTCGAGAAACTTTGACTTTTTTGAAGCTAAGAACGATAGAGTCTTAATAGCATAATGATAAAAATGAAAATTAATTATTTGCTATCATCATAATTTTATAGTTGAACTATAAAAGACAGGAGATAACATCGTACAATCTTTCTGGTGTCCAGTGATTTCCAAGATAATTGCAAAAACAAGCTTTAACGATAGTGTCTTTGATCACCTCATCCCTTGTCTAGTTGAGACACATCTTTTTAACTATTATTATCTATCCTTATCAATTCCAAAGACATCTAAATATTCAGGCATCTTGAAAAACCCAATTGCATGACTCCAGTGACTGGACCACATCCTTCAACAAATAAACTCACTATTAGTTGCCAATATTTTAATTTTGTTTCACAAGACTCGAAGTTTATCCAGCTCTATTCTTAAAACGATTAAAAACCTTTTCTTGTTTTAATTTTGAAATAATTTATAATAAATATTATTTCAGCTGGATTATTTATGTTTGCTGGCGCTTACCAAATGACAATATGGGCCCTAGGAAAACACCGTGCGTACAAAAAAGAGTTTCCTAATTACCCCAAAAATCGTACATCAATCATTCCATTTGTTCTTTAGATTCTTCATTGTTTAAATAATTATATTATCGTTGATCAATATTTTAAATTATTGTAAACTATTGCGGGATTTGTTAATTTTTTTCAACTACTATCTAGTACCTCAGAAATATGACTTGTTTTAATGATTATCTTGCTCAAATCTATTTAAAATCTTGTTAACTCTATTGAAACAAACTCAAAAAGCTTTATAAATTCTTTTAAAGAACCTAGAAAATTATGAAATTTTATTATTTTAAAACAATGATTTAGTTATAAATACCTATGATTTTTACAAGTTTGTTTCATTGAGAAAAATTTCATGATTAATTTCATATTAAGAAACAGATTTAAGGAAATTAACCGTTAGAACAATCATTTTGGTATGAGAGTAGATTTTTTAATAAGAATTTTATAAACAATTTCAATAAATATTTCTCATAGTTATTAAAGATTCGTAATTTATACTAAAAGTAAATTGCCTTATAAATGATCACCATCCAAATGATGAATGTAAAAAGTACTTTCAACTTCAAACCTCTACTCTTACTGAATATTCTTCAATATTGCTTGAAATAAAGAAAGCATTAATATTGCAATGATAAAGTAAAGTTATTAATAAGGCATTTTATCTTATGCTAATTCTTATTACACTTTATTTATTTCTAACCACTTGTTTCTTCAATGTCGCTATTGTTCTTTCCATTTGATCTCTCTGTCTTGAGAACTCAAGATAAACATTTACATCTGATTCTTGACTCTTCAAAAATTCATCATCGATTCCATATCGTCGATGAAGATTCTTTACAACTATTTTCAACGCTTTTGGATCTTGAAAAACTTCAATAGTCTCAGCGAGGTCATGTCTAATTTTCTTGATCATCATTTGTGCCTTCCTCTCTTTTTCAACCTCAATACTCAGCTTTCTCTTAATGCCTACTAATTTGTCCCTCAGTTCATTAACTCTGACCTCCAAACCCGTGTTGACTTTATGTAAATTAATGAGTTCCATCTCCATATCATGAATTTTATGCTTCAACTCTGCTATTTCTTCATTCCTTGGCTTTATTTCATTCTTCAACTCTTCTATTCTGTAGTTAAGGACAAATTTAATCTTTTCTAATTCTTGATTTTTATTCTCCAATTCTCCAATTTTTTTATCTTTTTCCTGAATCATGCTATTCCTTTCATCAATTTCATTTTTCAAGTCAATCACATCTCGCTCCAACACTTGGACATTCTTTTGATATCTCGTGTGATCCTTTTTCAGGTTCAGAACTTGTCTTTTCAGATCATCAATGTCTTTTTGTGCAGCTGAATACCGATTTCTCATCATCCCCGCTTCTCCCTTAAGCTTTAAATTATCCTGTCTTTCCTTATATAATTGAGTTTCATAATTTGTTCGCAATTCAATCACCTCACGATCAAAATCCTCTTCCATATCTTCTTTTATTTTTTCATGTTCTCCAACTAAATGTGTCATTTCTTCTTGCAATTCTTCAATCTCTACATTTTTTTCATGAATTCTTACTTCAAATTCATCAACAGTCTTCCTCAATTCCTCTTTCAATTCTACTTGTAGCTTTTTTATTTCTTCTTCATAATCTTCTTTCATTGAATAACTACTTTTCTCCAACTCTACATACTTATCATACTCCACAATTAACTTGGAATTATAATTACTTTCCATTTCTTGTATCGTTTTTTCATGAAATGCCTTCATCTCAGCTATTTCTTGATTAATATTATTCAACTCATTCATTCTTTCTTCCTTAAGCTGCTCAATACGATCCTTTAACTCTTCGATAGCTGCACAATATCCTTGATGAATATCTTTCATTTTTTCATTATTTTGTACTTCAATTTGACGCACGTTATATGAATGTTCTGTTTCCAGTTCTTTCAACTTTAAATTAAGCTCATCAATATTTTTAATCTTATTTTCAAGTTCTTTCTTGCTAATTAAAACTTCCTGAGTGTTGATACACTTGATTGAATCAATGTTATTACTAGATAGCAGCTTCCAAAAAGCTAGACTGCCATCATTGCCGGAAGAAACGATTATTTGTTGATTAAAAGTTACAGAAAGGTCAGTTATGTCTTCAGAATGCAAGTGAAATGTCTGAAATTCCAGTGGTTCATGTAGAGGAACCTTAAAAGAGCAAATTTTACCACCTGGACAAGTGATGAAAAGGAATGAATCTTGTTGACTCATCAACAAAAGACTCATTACCACTTCTGGAGCATAAAACTCATGTAAAACTCGATCTTCTTTAATTTCACGGATCTTATTATCACTGGAGATACAATAAATAATTGATTCTTGAACACTAAAAGCTACTCCATGAATCGATACATTTTTAAGAATAATTTCAGACATCCTTGATCCATCTCCAGTATTCCAAATATAAATAGCACCTTCAGATCCAATCGAAACTAATTTCAAGTCATTTTGTGCCCATTTGAGCTCTTTAATCTTCCCAGTATGACCTTTCAGAAGCAACCGATTGGAGAATCCGATAGTGAAGTAGATCTGGATGACATTGCCGTTGACTGCAGCAAAAAGATGCCCACCATGGCTGAAATCAACTGTTCGACAACTGCGGATGGAAAATTCTGCAGTGAGTAGCAAATCATCCATCAAAATGGTGAGGAATTTTAATTTGTCGCTGAATCCAATGAGACAGAAAAGTCCAATTGGATGCAAAGAAATACTGAAAATATCTTCTGCGTATTGTTTCATCAGAAGTAAACTCTCTGTTTCATAGTCCCATAATCTGACACTCCTATCAACACATCCGTAGGTCATGAAAACTGATTTCCATGCACACATTGAGATCCGCCCAATTCGGCCGTGATGTAACTGCTGGCCCATGATGCTGAATTCCTTAGTTTCCAAGTTTTCTTCATGAAACAACTTGGCATAAAACAGCTGGGCCCAGTTGGAAGTGACTAGAAGTTGATCGAAACTAGGATTAATGGTGATAAAGTTTATCTTATAAGAGTCTGGCCGTGATTCTTGTGACACTTGAGGTGGAATAGTGAAGATATGTTTCTTCAGATACTTATGCTGGCCTTGTTTTTCAAAAACCAAAACTTTCCCAAGTCCACATGCGAAAGCAAAGCCTTTGGGAAATGCTATTAAACAACCAATCTCATTTGGCCATTGGACTTCAGCAGCTAAATTGGTTTGGGAAGATGTAGGCTGGAGAGCAAACTCCTCCCTGATTTTAAGATTCAACAAATTGGTCTGTTCCATTTTGTAGATATTTTTTAACTCACCATTTTCGAAGTAAAATATTCGACCATCTTTAATTCCAGCAAGTAGTCGGTCAGTATTTAACCAACAAATTGAACTGATGAGTAAATTGTCTGCCTTTGCAAAACCATAAGAACGCCAAACTGTTTCAGATACTGTAAGAAATTTGAAAGCATAGTCTCCTGCTACTGCCACAATTCCAATATCACCTGGGTTACAGGATATCAAGAAAAATGATGATAAAGAATTCTGTGGATTTGATAGACGGATGCTGGATTCAACCTTCCCTTTTTCCCAAACATAATAGAGCATTGTTTGATCTGGTTCTCCAGTGATTGCAGCTAAAACATCATTGACATATTGGAAATAATGAATAATACAGAAGCATAATTTTTTACCTAAATATCGAGTATCGAAGCTGAAAGCAATGCAAGAGAACTTGGTGACTCCTGAAACCTCATACGGAATACCAAGAGTCCTTTTTCTTTTCAAAGAAGATAGTTCGTAGATTGAAATCAACGGTTTTTCTCCTGTTTCACATATTGCCACAAATTTTCTGGGTAATGTAATAAATATAACATTATTATTTGTAATTACTTAAATAATTAGAGTAAATAACTTAAGAATAAATCATAGTTAGAAGTGAATTATTGACTTACTTGGTGGGTGCAACACAAATAATGTTGATCTGACGGTTTTCTGGTAGATAGAGAAGTCTTTGCCGACATTGTGAGAAATTATGAACTGCCAAAACATTTCCAATAGGATACAAGACATCATTGTCGGTTAGAAAATGTGCATTGCCTTCGATATTTGTCTTCAGACCATAAATAACCTTCGTTTGAAGTCCTGCAAGTGACATTGGATGTTTCACAACCTTGTTTCAGCTCGTTGCTATTTGATATCTCCATAACAACCTCGAATACTTGAATGTTTTGTACATGAAGTACTGGATAACTTATTCTATCATTAAATATGGGTCAACTGTATGGAACTTTAAAGTTTAGATGCCAATGAAGATGATGATGATGATGATTATTATTATTATTATTATTATTATTATTATTATTATTATTATTATTATTATTATTATTATTAAATATGAGTCAAAGACGTAAACAGGTGTCTAGTAAATTTTGAAGATCACCATTGATAATTAGATTTATTACATACATCTAAATATTAGCACATTTTTAGAAATAACAAATACAATTGAAAAAAAAACATTGAAAATTCTAGGTGTAGACATCTCTTTTCAAGGACATAGATACTCCGAAAATGCAGATTTTTTTGGGTATTATAGTTCAGTTCATACTTGGTATACGTTAGAATGATTCTTGGGCATCATCAGATGCCAACGGAAAACCTGGTGTGCTTCTGTATCTACTGCTCTTCTGGATAAAGAAATTAGACGAGGAAAGGAATCAGGTAGATTGAAAGTAAGGAATAACATGGTCGTTACATATTAATTACAATTCATAAAGTATGTTTGTTTGCAGTTTTGTTTTTTGGAAACAATTTATCTGTCGATCAAAAAGTGCAGAACTATTCAGGAATACCACACACACACACAATTCGAGTATGATAATCAATTTCTTGTGTTCAATCGTTTGCAAACATCATAGGTAATTATTATTCATCCGATTAACATTGTTGTTTCAGTGAATATCTTCACTGGCCATTGGTTTCGGCTTGACGACAATTTTCTGAACTTGTAGGCATTGCTTTCTGCGTTTTAAGACTGTAATTATTCTTGATTGTCTTAAATTAATTCTTAGATGACATTTTTTACCAATCAAGAGTTCCATAATGAAACAAATAAGTCCAAGAATATTTCCAATGCTCAAAAAAATGAAGGCGAATTTCAAATCGTTGACTGCAATAGGTCGAAAATTTATTTCAAATCGAGCTTTTCGTCGTTCGAGATACCATTTTTTTTTCAAACGCTCTTGTTCTAGTTGAATATCTACGTGAATATCGAATATATAAGTCATTGCCCAATTAATCGTTTCTTGATAAAAAAATCGTCGGCGAAATCGATGGGCCGCCATTGTATATCCAAAATCTTTCTTACTTGCACAGATTTTGTCTGACAATTTTATATCGTCCAAAAACACTGTGGCATCAATCCTAGGAATGATAAGGACCGAATTGTGATCATGTATAAATTCATCAAAAGCAGCATCATTGTTCTTGATCGACTTGATTTTTTCAAAGATTGTATCATTTTTCGCCGCAAATCTGCTTTGATTTTCTAAAATATAAATTGTAGTAATTTGAGGATTCGCTAGATCTTTAATCGAGTTGGGGCAGTCACGAATTTGAGGTATTGTTAAGAATTTGGCCAAATTGCCACTGAATGTTGCATGAATCACTGTGAAATATAGAAATATCATACAAAAAAATATTTTTAATGAAAGAGCATTCATAGGAATGATGACTCTTGAGTTTGTAAGGAGACTGAGACAGTCGAAAGCAGCAAAAGCAATATGTCCGTTAGTTTTCAAGTAGATAACAACGAAAGTTGTGCTCAAAATTATTATCAGTGAAATCAAAGTCCAAATTCCATAAAACTGAGCTATTCTTTCCAAAGGTGTAGCGATTCCCGGGTTGTGGGAAAGGATGACGTAAGAGCTGTAGCCAGTTGGATATGACCATACGAATCTATGATCTTCCCACATGATGCTTCTTAAAGAAAGTATATCTGCAGGTGTTTCTGATCAAAAAAGCATACAGTTGTGTATAATTTCTTTACTGCCCGTTGGAAGCGATTTTATGTAAACTGTGAATTTGATCTTTAATAATCTTTCAAGTAATCGAAATAAGGGTGAGAATATTCTTGTAGGTAACTGATGGCTATTTTCATGATGAATGATATCTCGATATACTGTTTTTCCCTTTGCAACAACGTGCAAAAATCCAAGTATTATTGGCCTATTTTTGTTTGGAGCTGATCGATTGAAATGGAACTTGTCGCATAAATCTGTAAAAACAGAAAACTGTAGAATATCAAAAAGCACAACTTGAAATGATTAAACTCCTGACGGACACATATTCGAAGTATATTGTCGAAGTGATTGATTGAAATGAAATTATTGAGATTGCAACAAGATTAGAATTGGTCCTTTCTATCTGGTGTGTCTGTCAGGGTTTAATAGAAAAAATGACAATAGATACTTTTATTATATCTGCGATGGTACAATGTCCAAGGATAAGAAGTTGAAGCAGGTATATCAACTATTTGCCATTTAGGAGGTCGAATACTTCCATACGGATCTTGTGTAATTACTCTGGGGATTTTTTGTTTATCAAGACAAATATAGTAAGTGATATCGAAGTGTGCATATCCTATAATTCGAAGCACGGGGACACCTGTACTACAACCGTCTGGTAGTTTGCATAAAAAAACTACTGTACAATTCTTTGAACATTGCCAAGAATAAAGCAACTTTGTAGATGCCAATATTAATTCATCATATGAATTAATTACTACAATATATCCATCGATGACGACGGAGTTACCAATTTCTTCATACTCCAGAGATATTAGCTCAGAGTGAAGAATCCAAGATTCTGGACCTTTGGGAGGTCGGATCGTCGACAGAGTATTCAGTAAATCTGTACTAGCTCCATCGTAAAACTGAATATTCTTCATCCGTAGATTGCATTCGTTAAGTAGCGTTATCTTAAAATATTAAAAGGAATTGATTGAAATTAATAAATTTTCATCTTGGTTTCTTGCTATCTAAAGTTCACTACCTACTACCGATTGTTAACGAATTATGAGAATATGTAGATTGGAGAATTCAGAGATATAAAAGTTGAACTAAGATTCAAATTCAATTTAAAAAAATAATATATTCTTACCAGGACTTTATCGATAATTGTTGAATTTTCGGTCGAATTATCAGGCAATATCATTAAACTGTAGCAAATATTTCTAAGCAATAACAACAAAATACAAAATCGTTTTGTCATAATGGACAATTTTATATCATTCATCAACGTCTCCGTGTCGTTGATGACTGAATATCGCAAGAGAAAAATAGTTTGAATAATGCACATTTTTTCCGCTTTTTTCTACACATAATAAAAGGATCATTAAAATAATAGACTCATTTGAAGTTAAAGTTCAATACAATTATTTGACATTGTTTTCATCGGCTACGTGTCTTTCTTTCATGGGCAGAATAAAATTGTTATTGTGAAATAAATGTATGTCATTTCGATATAGGTATTTCAATTAAAGCATTATTTACACTCGCAATAAAACTACACCATAATATGCTATAAATTGCAACAATTCACGTAATAAAGCATGGTTATCTATTTAATCGTTGCTGATATAGTCCTTCTAGGATTATAAACAAAGAACTGGTGATAAACAGTAACTACTATTTAGCAGTCAGTGTTCAGTTAATTTACGAGCACAATGTAAAGTGTTCTGAGAAGAAGCAATATGATCATGTAAAAAATATATGGAAAAAGTAAAAATTATGCTCAATTTACCGGAACTTTATTTTCAATGAAATACAATAGCAAACTAGTGAATAAAGGTTTACAATTTTGTTTTCAATACTGTTCTTCTGGGTAGAGTAATTCGAAGAGGAAGGGAATCAGGTAGATTGAAAGTAAGGAATAACATGGTCGTTACATATTAATTACAATTCATAAAGTATATTTGTTTGCAGTTTTGTTTTTTGGAAACAATTTATCTGTCGATCAAAAAGTGCAGAACTATTCGGAACACCACACACACAATTCGGAAGTCAGAAATGATGTCTGTTAGAAAAGATGTCTTTAGATATCTGCTGGACATCTTTCTGGTTTTTTTCCAGACATCTGTTCAGCTTTTTTTCAGACATTTAAATCGACATCTTTTTGGATCTTTCCAAGACAACTTTTAGAATATCCAATAGGAATTTGATATCTTCTTATCTGAGTCTAACAGATGTCTTCTGGATACCCTTTTTCTATTAGGGAGTGAATAAAGATTTAAAATTTTGTTTTTAATATTTTATGTTATTCTTGACATTTCTATTAATTACGTAAAATTTCAAGATTAAAATGAATTTTATTCTTATTGACTTCTTAACACATTAGAAAAGTGCGGTGACGATATTTTCAACATCATAAAGCGTATTTAAATATTCATTGCAAACCTCAAAATTAAAATGACTATTCTGCTCAATGTAATAGCCCCGACCGACCAACTCTAAATCAATCGTCTCATTTGCATAAACACTCAACTGATCAAAGGAAATAAATTTGTTGATGTTTTGTAATTTTATGCTCCACATTCCGTAAGGACTAAGGAAAGTGTGACTCTCGTGTATAAGAGTATATATCTCATTAGGATCAATCCAATTTTTGTCTCCATCGCGGTTAAGAGTGTAAGAAATGGTAATATCGTCATCAAAAGAAATAAAATAGTATTGTTCACCACAACGGTAATAATTATTGCCAATCATCGTCATAGTCAATGCAAAATTTCCAAGTACAGACATAAAACTGTTTTGCTTTGTTTCATTCCTAAGTTTAAAATTTATTCCAATATCATTGTATTTAATTGCATTATAAAAAAGTCCTTTAGATACATCTGCCTTGAGTATGATCTCCGAACCATTAAGTAATCGTTGAATTTCATTCTTGATTGTATCATATTTCCACACATAAAAAGGTGAAGAACCTATCGTATTATTGTTGAATACCTTTCTTCGATGAATGTATTTACTGTATTCACCAATCGTTGCATCACTTTCATCAATATGATTTTTCATCTCTTTAATTTTGTCAATGATAGTTGACCGTAATGTTTCAGCGTCATTGAGCCTCATACCCGTTGGCAATTGGAATCTTTGCAAGACATGCGCGGCAAACGGGAAATAGTGTTGTTTGAATGCATGCAATGCTATTTCGTATTTTTCAGTCAGTATATTTGAATGA